CATATAAATTATAATATAATGAATTATTATTAATAATAATATAAATATTCTAAATATTAATACAAAATATTAGAGACTAAAATTACAATGCTAAAATAGCTGTGATGGAAATGTAAAGATTTCTCTACATTTTAAGAGATGTGTGCTATAACTAAATCTGTTATATTATTTATTAAGCTCACACCTATTAAGGTTTTATTTACATTTAATTTATTAGCTTTAAATGTATTAACTTTTTAGTTAGGGTTTTTTTTCTCATTTTTTAAATAATTTTCTTTTTTTAGATTTTCTTTCTAGATTTTTCTTTTTTGCTGGAAAAAAGCAAGATTTTAGCATTCTTACTAATGATTTCCAGCCTATGGTAGTCTATGTAAAAGGCATGCAGTTGTAAGTTTTATTTCAGTGTTTGTTCATTAAAACTAGCATATTTATTAACAAAGTTCACTGAGCTTAGCATTTCACCCTTTTCCCCCCCTTTTAAAGCCGAGCATCGGTAGACCTGAAACTGACTACATCCACCATGAAAGTGAGAAGGAAGAGCCGATGACAGTAAGATTTCTCTCCTTCTCTTCATTCCTCTAATTCTTAGTGGCACTTAAGATGGTAAATCATACATTTTTGATAGCGTGTTCATTCTGCATGTATAATTCAGGACCTGTTACTCACAGATCATAGTCATCTCCATTCTACAAACACATCAAGCTCTTTGACTCTAATCAAAACATCACAATCTCCACTCTGACAGGATCTCTCAGTTTTCTATGACGACAAAGACCATCTGCATTCCTCCAGAGACGACAAACAGACTCCTTACCACGATGACAGAGAGGAAGACGGGATGGCGAGAGAGGAAGACGTGTATTACACCACTTCCTCCGTCGCTAGAGGGAGCAGCTTCGTGTCACCTGCTGTCATTGTGTAGGATTCTGCACTACAAAAATATCTATTTAATTTGCAGTTTTTCATATTTTGTGATTCTTTTTTTTATTTATGCTTTTGAATTGCATTATGGGACCTTAAGCTTTCTTCCAAAAACTTTCAACCTTGAAAATGTTGAAAATGTGACTTTTATGAAAGTTATGAATAGTTTAAAATGATATATTACTTGGGTTGGTGTTGTATATTTTAATGCAACAATTTTACAATAATTTTACAGTAATTTTGATACAATAAAGTTATTGCACAGACTTATATCTTTATATATTTCTTCTTATACATTATATTATTTCAAACTACTAAAATGTCAATAAAAGTTAATTTATTAAACTGTAGAGATGAATTTTCAACATAAAAAGTGAACAGAGCAGAGATCAACATCCCATAATGCAATTCACAAACCAAAATAACTGGAAAGCACTTGTGAGTCTACAAAAACTCTAATTTAATAGATATTTGTGTACTACAAAGGTCTCAAACTCAATTCCTGGAGAGCCGCAGCTCTGCATAGTTTTGCTCCAACCCTAATCAAACACAGCTGATACAACTAATCAAAGTGTTCATGACTCTTTTGAACACCTCCATTTTTTGCATAAGCTGTGTTTAATTAGGGTTGGAGCAAAACTGCGCAGAGCTGCGGCCCTCAAGGAATTGAGTTTGAGACCTATGGTGCACTGTAAATTCGACACTATACTGGTTATAATGTGATGCTGTTTTGTTTCACTCCAGGCAAGACAAAACAGTTTTCGTTATACATTCCTAGTTGATTAGATTAAAAAATGGAAACTTTTTTGTATTACAGGTTATGTTTGGGGCTGTAAACAAGGTGTTTATTTAAATATTTGCTTATCTGTATAAATTTCTAGCACAAAAATCAGAAAACTGCATGAAGTCAGTCATTTTGACTTTAAAACAATACTTGTTTAAGTTTTTTTTTGTTATGCTTGAGTTAATAGTTTTCACAGAGAAATTTATTTTTTAAATTCATTTATGATTTAGAATACAGTTATTGAAGCCAGTTCAGGGCCGCAGCTCTGCACAGTTTAGTTTCAACCCTAATCAAACGCACCTGCTCAAACTAATTGAGTCCTTCAGGCTTGTTTGCAATCTACAGGTAATGCTGCGGTCACACTAGAGCAGGCGTCACCAATCTCGGTCCTCGAGGGCTGGTGTCCCTGCAGGGTTTAGCTCCAACTTGCCTCAACACACCTGCCTGGATGTTTTAAGTATACCTAGCAAGACCTTAATTAGCTTGTTCAGGTGTGTTTGATTAGGGTTGGAGCTTAAATCTGCAGGACACCGGCCCTCCAGGAACAAGTTTGGTGACCACTTCACTAGAGTTTGTGTGTGCGAAATTCTGTTCTACGGTGCTGCGAAAAGGGGCGGGATTAAACAAGATGATTAGACATTTAAAAAAGTAAGCGATTGGTTCAAGTTTTAAATTTCTGTCCACAAAGGCCATGTTTTGATCTTCGATTGGTCTCATGCAATCATGTGATTTAATTTCAGAGTTTAATAAGCTTGAACTAGCAAATGCAGCGAACTGCGAATCTTGTCTTGCGTTTCTGGTCTGAAGCATTTGCGAGCGTATGAATGGAGGTCTATGGGGAGTGCGACCGCAGATGTAGTGTGTTGAAGCAGGGTTGGAACTAAACTGTGCAGAGCTGTGGCCCTGTTAAATACTGCCAGAATTTTAAAGGAATAAAATGATGTATATAATCAGGGTATATACTTCACACGGGGCATATACAGGGTACAATACTTTAACAATGTAGATATGAAAATAAAATAGTCACCTGCTTTGAATGTTATCACTCGATTGAATGGGTGGTATCATTAGTTATCAGCAGATAGATATGGGCCAGTAGTGGCCCTTTGCGCCTACTGGTAGCCACAGAAGGCCATTATCATCCATCCACGTGGTTAATCAGCTATACTAATAGAGAAGACTCCAGATCCAGGTCTGTTTTTACATTACTGTGACAGTTGGGTGTTGGGTTTTGGGTTGGGTAGACGTTAATAAATTCAATTAATGGGAAATTTAATAAATAATATAAACAATTCTCTTTCCTAGCGATGGGTTGGGGTTCAAAGGGCATCCGCTGCGTAAAAATGTGCTGGATAAGTTGGTCGCTGTGGCGACCCCAGATTAATAAAGGGGACTGAGCTAAAAAGAAAATAAAGGAATGAATAAATAATTCTCATTAACTCTGGCCGCAGCTGTACGTGATCTGTAGCTGATTAGCTATGTGGATGGATGATAACGGCCTTCTGACTCTTCCAGTAGGCGCAGAAGACCTCTACTGGTCCATATCTATCAGCTGATAACCACTGGTAACGTCCATCTAATCGAATCATAACATTCGAAATAGTAGAGTTTAGTGCATGTGTAAATCTGCTGAAGTGAAAATGAGAAAACGACCCCTGTAACTGAAATGTAAAGACACGAAATGATCAAATGTGACAAAAGATTTACATTTTAGATGTTTCTTTTACATTAGTCTGAAAAAAAAAAGTCAAAAAGCCTTTTAAAAAGCCAGTGCGTCACCTAACACTTTAACTCTCTAAAGGTTCTTTTCTATAGTGCCTATACTTGAAGACTTCGATGAAAGAATGAAGGGATATTATCAGTTGCACATATTATACTTGTTTTTCTGTTCCTGCATATGGATTGTCGTTTATATTATTTTGTCTTGTGCCATTGTTTCAGGTTGTTTTGTCTGTGAATGTTTATAAGTAGATTAAGATGAAATGAGTCCAGGATCAAAATACACTATTAAAGGTTTTTATTTTTATTTTTATTGTTGTTAGTGGAATATCTTGCTGCACTTTGAAAATATAATTTTTTTTCCATTTATACTTTAATGTGTTCCGTTATAAACAACATACTGTAAAAATGTCTGCTAAGGAATCTTTTCCCATAGTTTGTGGTTTATAGGTGTTGTCCATTTGTTTATGCTTTAGAGTTGCATTATGGGAACCTGACATTACAGCTCAAAAATGGCCTGACAGTACTTTTTCTGCTATGTTATCAATTCCCTGTGATATTTGTCTTCATTTTCCAAAATTTCTTAAGTGATGATTAAGGAAGCAATGCAATTTTAACAGTATTTACTATGATTTTTAATTTTATTTTGGAGAAAGTATTATTTATTTTAGTTTGGCTTCAATAAAAGCAGTTTTTATTATTGTTTTAAATAATTAATTGAATTGTTAATTAATACATTTTAAGGTCAATATTATTATGCCCTTTAAATTTTTTGTTCTTTTATTAAGTACAGATCAAACTACTTTTATTCCATAACTTGCATATAGTTCACCTAATTAAGCTTTTTAATTGCCTTTAAATTAAGCATTTTAAGCTGAATACTTAAATAAGTTATTAGAAATTAGTTGTCAAAACTATTATGTTTAGAAATGTATTGACAAATCTTCTTTCCATTAAACATCACTTGGGAAGTATTATGTTTACAACTTGTAATATTCTTTTCCAGAATCTTAATTGTCGCTTTATTTTCTATTGTACTTAAATATTTTTTAGACTTAATAAACAGGGTAATGGTCTCTAGTTGTCTGCATTTATCAATTGTGTGCACAATGAAAATAAGGAAATCTTAAAGGAAATAAAACTGCAAAGTACACAATCTCTCAGTTCTGCTTTATATAATGATAATAGGTTATGTATAAATATTGGTATATAAATATGTGAAAGATCAGTATCTGTAATATAGAGGTTTAAAGAAGTAAAAGAGCTGACAAATTAGCAAAAGAAATTTAAATCATAATGATAAAACAAACAAAAAAAAGGATTGAAGATTACTGGGAAAATATTTTAAACTCAGACAAAAAAGAAGAGAATAAAGTTTAAGTTAAAACAATGACTGAAAACAGAACAGAAGTTAGGACACAAGAAATGTTGCTACAGCCTGTTTAATTATCTGTAAGAAATCGGCTGTATGTATGTGTATATTAAAAAGCAAGATTTTAAAGCAATGAAGCCATTTTTACCCACTCCAATATAGTTGGTGGCGCTATGCACAGTTAACGCTGGTGCGCAACTCCCCAGAAACAAGATGAAGAAGAAAAAGAAGACGAAGAAGAAATTTGCTGATATGTTTTGACTCGTTAATTCAAAGTAAACTAGCGACGAAGAAAGTTGTTTGACGGAATATGGCCCGAATCGGACGACTGGATGAGTATGAGCCAGAACATGAATCGTGGTCTGCATATGTTGAGCGGGTAGAATTGTTCATGATCGCTAATGATGTGGACGATACAAAGCAAGTGGCGACTTTGCTTACTGCTATGGGAGCTTCCACTTACAGATTATTGCGGGATCTAGTTCAACCATTAAAGCCTAAGGATAAAACATTTAGCGAGATTGTCAGTATACTACAAGCACACTTTGAAAACAAGGAGTTAATAAAAGCCGAACGCTTGCGGTTTCAGCGCCGTGTTCAAAAACCGGATAAAACTATTTCCCAGTATGTCGATGAACTCGCAGAATATGCGGCCAAATGTGATTTTGGGGCAAGTTTTGAAGACGCTTTACGTGATCGATTTGTTAACGGACTACAAAATGAAGCATGCCAAAAAAGATTGCTCTCCGAGGACGCGCTGACTTTTGCACGCGCGGTTGAAATCGCTCTCAGCCTGGAAGAAACGGCTCAGGAACCGCAACAGCCGAGGAAAACCACGCTTTCAATGGCACCTGTGATTAAGGTAACCTTAAAGAAGAAAACTGCATTTGTTTCTCCCAGGAATGTTTATTTAAAAAACTATAAATGATGTTAGTGTGGATGTTTAGCCATATAAAAAACAAAAACATACAGTTAAAGAGAACTCTCACGTGGAATCTACTTTTGAGGAGAATGACTTGCACAAACAACTGTAAATATATATGATATGTTTATTCTAATAATGTTTAAAATTTCCAATCCCAAATGGCGTCAAATGCAATATATGCCACAATTTAAAGCTTAATAGCATTTGAGGAGAAGGACTTGTTGACATCTTGAAAACTTGAGCAGGTATTGAAAGATAAAATGTTGTACGTAAGAAATCCAGGTTGTATTATTGACAAATACAGAAGTGTAACTGTAAGTGATTCTCCTCATGCTATAGGACTCATTACTTACCATTTACTTGGTTCATGAGTTTCTTCTGTTGATAACAAAAGAAGTAAATTGAAGAATGCTGAAAATTTGTAACCACTGACCTCCATAGTATTTGTTTTTGCTCTTATAGAAGTCAATGGTTACAGGTTTTGAGCTGTCTTCAAATTATCCTCTTCTGTGTTCAACCGAAGAAAGAAACATAAAGGTTTGGATGAAACCACTTGAGGGAGAGTAAATAATAAGTAAACTGAAATTTTTGGGTGAACTATCCCTTTAGGGCTCTGTTCCAATCCCTGTTACTTTTGAAAGCTTTTTAACTGCATTCCATGCCTAGTACCTGGGATTTAATACCACCTCTGGTGAGCTTCCAAGCAAGCCAAACATTTACTAAAGCATGACGTGTACACACTTCTAATCATTGATTGGTCAGAGAGAATCTGCACTACTTGTGTAATTGGATTTGTGACACCTAGGTATGGGCTGGTATAGAATTCCTTGGATAAAAATATTATGATTTGACGGTATTGGGATTAGTGCTCTAAAACATATTCTTTTTAAATGTCTGGGTAAAAAACAATTTGTTTTCCCCCATTAAACACAATATAGTTTTATTTTTTGAGCAACGTTTATAATATTTTGGAGCAGTAAACATGTCAGGCTAAATAATTCACATTAATCATTTACTTTTGCTTACTTCATTAGTTTCAAAAACAGATTTCTTTACAATTTAAAATTGCATCTTTGGATATCTTTTCTGCTGGAGATGCTCTTGTCCTAAAGAAAAAAGAACCGTAAATATAAAATTCTACACACACACCATAGGATTGGTATAGCAGAATATTTTTGCGGGTTTTAAAACCTTGAATTTCCCAAACCGCAATACTTTAAAAACGGTTTTCATTTCATGCCTAGTGACACCAGAAACCAAAACTACTATATTAAACCATTTTATACAAGTTAAAGACGCCTGAAATGCCTGCATCCTGGTCAGTAGAGGAGGACCAGATGCAAGTTAGTAGCCAAAGAGTAGATCCAGTGAGAGCAGGAAGGATGACCTGAAATGAAAGTTTTTCAGGATGTCATTGCAGTAGACGTAGTGGAACGATAGTGATGATCACACTTTAACCGACATTAAACTGAAGTGAAAATGCAGTGGGAAAGGGGCTTTAGATGGATTTCACTGCCAACACACAAAACACTCACTCAGTCACATATCCTATATTCAAAGGGTTGGTCCACTACGATATCCTATTTTAAACTTCAGTTGATGTGTAATGTATCTCTGTGAACACAAAAAACATCTCTGAATGTAAGACGCTCAAAGTTTAATGCAAAGAGAGGCATTGGCTTTTACAACGTTAGCTTAGCAAAGCCTACTGAGAACGAAGTTTGGGGACTACAAAAAAATACATTCAGGCTAGTGAGATCACAAACGCTTCAGGTTATGCAAATTCACCATGCGCATACACCCTGCGCAGCAAAGGGGCGTCAAAAACCTCTGTAAACAGCCACAATCTTCACCAGCAATGCACTGTCTGACTATGCGGCCGATTTCCGTGCATTACACATTACTTACACATGCTTATTCTGAATATACGTGAAAGACTCTTGTCAGATTTTATTTTAGAGTGCAGGTGTGCGGTTCAGCTGTGTCCTCTGTGTCATTTTTCTGTCCGATTGAGGCACAAACTGATATGGCTAACAGCTACTCAGACTGTTTACACATCGCAAAAGCGCATGCTTTTAGGGGCGTGACGCTTTTCCTGGTGACATAGAGCTGATCCGAGAATCACAGCACAGTATGTTAGCCGACCAATCAGAGCCTCTTGAACTTTCGGAGGAACTAGGAAATATATGACATTTTATAAATGTCATTTTAATGTAAGCTGAGTAGCTGTATATTATCTGAGTAAGATGTATAAAAAAGATTAAAAATGAGATTTTTCTACAAATAAAGCATGAGCACACATTGCTTTGCATCTTATAAACACAACCAAGCCTTGAAAATACTCTCTGGACCACCTCTTTAACGGTTGATAACTCTTGCACAGCAACTGCTTTATTACTAATAACAAATCATTGTTTGTCATGTTTTACAGCATCCTACGCATTTTCAATCCAAGCCTGATGCAGAAGAGTTCTTTCGAAACGGGGGCTTTGAATGTCCCTGCTGCCCTTTCATTGCAAAGGAAAATTATGCTTTTAAAGTTCACACGGATACCCATATAAGGAATGCAGTGAGGCACGAAGGTACGGTGGCAACATCTCATAAAATATTAATTGATTTTTGGACATGTATACAGTTGAAGTCAGAATTATTAGCCCCCCTTTGAATTTTTTTTTTCTCTTTTAAATATTTCCCAAATTATGTTTAACAGAGAAAGGAAATTTTTGCAGTATGTCTGATAATATTTTTTCTTCTGGAGAAAGTTTTTTGTTTTATTTCAGCTAGAATAAAAGCAGTTTTAATTAAAAATAAAAACATTTTAAGTCCTTATTAGCCCCTTTAAGCTATATTTTTTTCGATGGTCTACAGAACAAACCATCATTATACAATAACTTGGCTAATTACCCTAGCCTGCCTAGTTAACCTAATTAACCTAGTTTACCCTTTAAGGCCGTACTCGCACTAGGTACAGTTGCCTCGAACCTGGCCAAAGCACGCTTGTCCCCCCTCCCGTCTCCCCTGACGGCCCGCGCTCACACCATATCGGGCCTCGGCACGCTTGCGTCATCGCTGCTGCGCTGTTCAGAAGCGCTCTCTATGGCAAGCCTTTTTAGCACTTAAATCTTTGTTCTGACTCCATAAATATATTTAGAGATATCTCTAATTATATTTTGACTAGTCATAATTATAATTCGACTAGTCAGAATAACAATTAGAGATATCTGCAATTGCAATTGTACTAGTACGAAATCAGATTGGACATATCTGCAAATATATTATGACTAGTCATATTGACTTCCATTGAAAAATATTTTTTTACTAGTCATAATACATTTGGAGATGTCTTTAATTCGTCATATTTAGAAATATTTACAAATATATTTGAAGATATCTTTAATTAATTTAGTCGAATTACAGTTGTAGATATCTTGAATTGGATTTTTGACGAGTCAAAACTCATTTAGAGATATCTGCAAATATTTTTCAATGGAAGTCAATGGAGGAATATGACTAGTCATAATATATTTGCAGATACTAGTACAATTGTAATTGCAGATATCTCTAATTGTCATTCTGACTAGTCGAATTATAATTATGACTAGTCAAAATATAATTATATCTCTAAATATATTTATGGATAGTCAGAACAAGGTTTAAATGCTAAAACGGCTTGCCATACGCTCTCACCCAGTAGCACAGTGGAGATTTCTCTAGTTATATCGTTTCAGTCGTTTGTTATGCAGTGACATGCAGTCAAATATTTCGCCAAACAGTCCTTAGGGATACGGTGACACGCAGTCAGATATTTTACCGGACAGATCTGCCACTTTTGGCGCTCATAAACAATCATAAAGCTCTCGTGCTGCAGGAATGAGGAGGTCTGCTGAAGGCGCGCAGCTGTCATGCTGTGAGGAGTTCTCGTCTTTAATAAACTACGGCAGTTTGCGATCACTGAACAGTAAGAATGATTAATAAATCCATATGAAACAGCCCCTTAAAAGTCACGTCTCGCTTTCGGTTGAAGTGATCGGTTGAAGTGAGCCGGTTGAAGTGAGCCCAAGTGATCCGCGCTCAGGCACACCTCTTCCAACCGGGCCAGGGCCGGCCAAGTGAACCGTGCTTGAGCCCGATTCAGCGCACTCACACTTCTTAAACGATCCGGGAAACGGGCCTGGGCACAGTACGGATGGCATAGTGTGAGTAGGCCCTAACTGTCACTTTAAGCTGTACAGAAGTGTCTTGAAATATATCTAGTCAAATACTATTTACTGTCTTCATGGCAAAGATAAAATAAATCGGTCATTAGAGATGAGTTATTAAAACTATTATCTTTAGAAATGTGTTGAAAAATCTTCTCTCTGTTAAACAGAAATTGGGGAAAAAATAAACAGGGGGGCTAAAAATTTAAGGGGGCTAATCATTCTGACTTCAACTGTACATTGTATGTAGTAGGGCTGCACGATACTGAGAAAATCTATTACGATATGAATACAATTTCCCCAGATAACTTAATATGTCTATTTGGGTAGAATTTATAATTTTTGATTGTTTGGGAAGATTCTGCAGTGGGAGTGCGTCTTTATAAAATTTAATAAACAATCTATAAACTTTTTGGTGTCCCTCAACACATACATTTCTGTATTTGCATGTGTAGTGAGTATTTTCATGCATAACAATCTATAAATATATGGAATAAAATCAATGCCTGAAGTATTGAAATAATAAGCTTGTCGAAAAGCACTAACTGAAAAAAAATAATACATTGACTTAACAACTGCTTGCATTTTAATGACTTGAATTGATGGGGTTTGTAATTTTTTTAGGTCGTGAAATTTAACACAGCTGTTTATTTAAGCTGTCAATATTTTAATTCAAAACACAATTTCATACTTCAATTCAAATTTCATATTCAACTTCCAGAGTTCACTTCCAAAATATTCAGTATACAAAGTATAACATTAAAAAGGCAATTTTCTGTTAATTTTATTTCCGTAAAAAAAAAATGTTTAAGGGGTTAACCTATTGAGGGGTTATCAATATTAGGCTATGAAGAGTTTGTGTTCGTATCACCTTTTAACATTGTTTAAACGCACCCTGGCATGTTAGGATTGGGATAGGCTATCGGCTAGAATTTTTCTTACCCAATTTACAAATAATTTAACTTGTTTTAGGCAAACAATCACTTAATTTTGAGGTGTTCTTTTTTTTTTTTTTTTTTTTTTAAAGAAGACATTATTTCTCATGCTATTTTATGTGTCTAGTATGTATCTTGATTTAAAAAAATTAAATATTTGGATTAGAAGCAGGACAAAGCTACTTAGTTATTTATGTTATTATTATTATAACAACTCAGGGATGAGCTTTTTTGAATGAACAGTTGAAAATTAATGCTTTTTTTCCCCGATTCATTGATTAATCGAAAAAATAATCGACAGATTAATCGATTATTAAAATAATCGTTAGTTGCAGCCGTACTATTTTCATTATTTAAATTCCAATATTATTATTATTATTATTATTATTGGACATTTTAGTAGTACAATATACTTACATTAATCTTCCTATTAGTTATTGTAAATCAATATTTCTTTTTATCTTCATTAGCTAACAGCCTTTCTCTTAATTTTCCAAATTTTTGGGGTTTGTTAAATAAATTTTTCGACAAGCTTTTTTATTTCAATACTTTGGGCATTGATTTTCTTCTATATAAATACAATCAAGAAAAATATACAATTAAAAGTGTTTAATTGTTTTTCAGAGTCTATCGCTATTCAAGTGCAGTAACTGAATGATAAAATGCTTTTAAGGTCATTATACAATCACACAACAAAAACACATGCAAGTGATGAAATATAATACAAACTTAGCGCTGCATATTCTGCGATGTGACTATTGCGAATGATCACACTGTGATATCAATGCTGAAACAATATGTTGTGCAGCCCTAGTGTGTCAAATTTAAAATTGTACTTGCACCTTAATGTGAAGATTGCCAAGATGAGCTGTAGTTTCTTGGAAACAACTGAAGTTATGTTTTTGTTTATCTGTTTGTGTGTGTTTCGTGACACTTGATGTGTATACTATTCTCTTCAGTGTTGCTAACTTTGCTTCAATGATTTTGCAGGTTACTTCATCTCAAAATGCAGTAAGCCGTGCAGGAGCGCAGCCCATTTTCACTGTCTCTACTGCAGCCAGACATTAGTACGCAGAGAACAATTCGCTCGGCATGTTGCCGGTTGTCCTAATACAGAGCCGTCTGTTGCAGCTTCTTCACCTCTGCCTCCCTCTCTCTTTGTAGCTGCAGGCCCCACATCCCCACCCTGTGCTGCTTTAGTTACTCAGTCTCCACCTGCACCTCCATCTCCCTTGGTAGCTCCAAAACCACCCATAGTTATTTTAGTTGCCAAGTCTCTAGTATCCACCCCCTGTTCCGCTGATCCAGTCACTTTTGAACCACCCCCAAAGTTGCAAAAGAAGGGAGAAAATGCGAAAAAAAAAAAAAATGAGAAGGTCATATGTCCTGATTGTGGACTGGCACTTAACAAGAGAAATGTAAAGACGCATTTTCAGAGACGGCATGCTCCAAAAATCGACATTATCACCGAGGACCAGCTGAATTAAGTCACAGCACGTGGCTAATATTAATGGGTGTCTGAAGTAGCCAAATCATTTTAGCACTCATCAGAAAAACGTGGGACTGTAAACAAAGAGCAACATGCAAACTCGACAGCTGCAGAATGAATGTAGGTTTTAGCAGAAAGATCAAACATTCATTTCTACGAGTGCCAACACCTACAGGAACTTGCCCACCAGCAAAAAGGGACATTCTTCTTAAAGGCATAGAAGGTTTTACAGGCCATGGCTGACAGTTGTTGAAGGAACTGATGTTTAGCAGGACAAAGAGAAGCAAAAGCTGGGTCAAGCACATATGCTTCCAGGAGGATAACATCACACAACATTTTCCTGCTAATGTTGAAGGTTTTTAGGAAGTGGAAGAAACCCAATACTCACCTGAAGACTAGAATCTGACTTGAATAGTTTTATATACATATATTCAAAAACTGATCCCTTAAAATCCTCGGAGCTTCACATCATCTGTAACCTTTTGCACTGAAAGTTTAGAGGCGGGGTGTCAAACTCAATTCCTGGAGGGCCGAAGCCCTGCACAGTTTAACCTTGCTCCAACCCACTTACCTGTAGGTTTCAAACAAGCCCGAAGGACTCAATTAGTTTGATCAGGTGTGTTTAACTAGGGTTGGAACTAAACTGTGCAGAGCTGCGGCCCTTTTGGAACTGAGTTTGACACCTCTGGTTTAGAGATATCGGTAACACTTTGTAATAACTACACACTATAAATCATTTATTAAGCATCAGCATCTATTGAATTCATTATTTGGTAAACATTAACTCTACATTAATAAGCGTTAGTAAGCAGTTTATAACTGCAGCTACAAATGCTCTATTCTTGACTTACAAACATATTTAAAATGTGCTTAATAATTATACTTTCATACTTTAATGATTTATTTTTCATTACTAAATTAGGTATCGCATTATTTACAAACCAGTTGTATTTAAGAGTAGTTGAGGATTTTTAGGATCATTCAGAATGAGTTTGTAAATGATTGATTAACTACTGAAATCAACGTTAAAATGTCTTTTTATATATATTAATGGTTACTATGTGTGTTAGTAAATGCTTTATTAACTCAACTTCATGCAGTTTTTTTGTGACCTAATCTAAAGTGAGGACTATTCATGCTTTATAAATCCGTTATAAATGACAATTAAAGGCTCAGTTAAATTCTAAACAGGAAGAATGACATTATTAATTCCTATTCATTTAAACATACGCAAATGAAACTGTACTTCAAATGAAAAATAATCTTTGCAACCGTATCTAAAATAAAGTGACTGTAGATTTTAAACACTGCATCTTATTAAATTGTTAAATTATTATATTGTTGTTGTTTTATCCAGTTTTATGTCGTGTTTAAACTTCACATTAATTTAAATTTTTAGAAAAGATTGCAAAGATTATTGTTCACTTGATTCTGAGCCTTTATTTGTCATTTATAAGGGATTTATAAAGCATGAATAGTCCTTACTTTAGTTTAGGTCATAAAACTGCATGAAATTAAGTTAATAAAGCATTTATTAACATATTAATTAACTATTAGTATATGCCTGAATAATACGATATATAAACATTCATTTCAATAGTTTATTAATCATTTACTAACTCATTCTGAATTATCCTAAAACCCTCAACTACTCATAAATACAACTGGTACGTAAATAATGCAATACCTAATTTAGTAATGAAAAATAAATCATTAAGTATGAAAATACAATTATTATATAAGTGCTTATAAGTCAAGAATAGAGCATTTGTAGCTGCAGTTATAAACTGCTTACTAACGCTTATTAATGTAGAGTTAATGCTTAATGGATAATGAATTCACTAGATGCTGATGCTTAATAAATGGTTTATAGTGTGTAGTTATTATAAAGTGTTACCAAGATATCTTCACTAAGTGAACCTTTGATCATCACATCAACAGAAAACCTGATGATGGCACCAATGTTGTAGGTTTGCTGTGTTTTCTTGAAAGATTTTCCTTATTCTGCAGGCCTGCTTAAGTTTTGAGACACTGTCCGACCACACCTACACATTTTCTTGTGTATCGTTTGATTACCATGCAGTGCTCATTGTTCATACGGATGGTGTTTTTAGCATGTCTGGTAAGTCCAGTTTTCTTTTCTACTCGTATACTATTTTGATTTACACAGAAAGTCTAGCTTAGGAAAACGTTTTCTAGTAAAATGTTTCTCAACCCACTTAGAAGACATTTTGTATCATCATTAGATCAAGTGTGGAGATCCTGCTCGTTTTTTCCATGATATTTCCTTTTGTGAAATAATTGATTTTTTTGAAAGGGAACTTTCTAACCAAAGCGGTGTAATCAAAAATGTGCAAGAATTGTATACTTTGACATTTGATAAACAAGTTATGAATACAAAAATAGGTGAACACACTGTCTCCTGTCACAGCTTTCTCCTTCTATCTTTTCTTTTTCCACAGCTCCCTTACTTCGTAACCCCCCCCCCCCCGCCCCCCAATGTAATGTAGCCATGTTTTTGTAAATAAATGTAATATTGTTTTATATTTTACTTTGAGTGCAAGTGTCTTTACTGAATTTTTATAATATACAGTTGAAGTCAGAATTATTAGCCCCCCTGTTTTTTCCCCCAATTTGTTTATTGGAAAGATTTTTTTCAGCACATTTCTAAACATAATAGTTTTAATAAGTCATCTTTAATAACTGATTTATTTTATCTTTGCAATGATGACAGTAAATAATATTTGACTTGATATTTTTCAAGACACTTCTATACAGCTTAGTGACATTTAAAGACTTAACTAGGTTAACTAGGCAGGTTAGGGTCATTAGGCAAGTTATTGTATAACGATGGTTTGTTCTGTAGACTATATATATAAAAACATAGCTTAAAGGGGCTAATAATTTTGACCTTACAATGGCTTAAAAAATATAAAAACTGCTTTTATTTCAACCGAAATAAAACAAAAAAAGACTTTCTCCAGAAAAAAATAAAATAAAAAAATCAGATATACTGTGGAAATTTCCTTGATCTGTTAAACATCATTTGCATAAAAAACTTGCATATTCCTGTAACAAAAAAAGAAAATTGTTGATTGTCTCTAATGAAAAGCTTTTTATATGAATTTTATATGTTAAATTGTGTAGTCCTGTGCCATTAAATGTAACAAGCAGCATCTGAGTAATAAGAATATACAGTTCATTAAAGTAAATCAATGATTTGTTAACATAATTTTAAACAGCAACAGGATATTTACATCAATTGATCTAACAAAAGTTTTATCAATTCAGTAACCCCTATAAATGTTTGCAATACCCTTTCATAATATTCAAAATTATGTTTATTAGCTGTGTTAGATGTTCCAGCACATCAGCATCGTAATACCCGTTTTATTGTTAATATATTTATTTTCCTTTTTAGTAATTGGTTTTAATGATATCACAATTACATCTGGCAAACACTGGTCATAATGCAGGTCGTACAGAGGAAGACGAAACACTAAAACATCAAAATGGAAATAAATGTACCTGTATTCTTACACGCATTATACACACCTATAAACTGTGCATTTGGAAACTTGTAAATGTGCTTTGTTCTAAGCAATATTTATTTATTTATTTTGGTAGGAGCTCTGTGTCAAGAACATAAATTTTATATACGATATTTGAAATAAGTTACTGCTGTTTGACCTCCCTGTGTAGAGTTTTTACAATGGGGGATGTCTGTATTATATGAAGCATAGCATATCTAAATCTTGACAAGGGTTTTGGGAATGCATATTGAACTGTTCCACCGAATATTATTATTTAATGGTCTAAATACACGGTTAATTCCGCTGTGGCGACCCCTGATTAATAAAGTGACTAAGCTAACAAGAAAATACATAAATGAAATGATGATCTAAATACATCTAGGTTAGAGATGCCCAAACTAGGACCTGCGGGCCAAAGTTGGCCCATGCTAACCTTTTATTTGACCCGCCATTCCATCTGAGAAGAGATTGTGATCTCTAATTTAACATAACCTTGTTATTGTTTGTTGTTCAGTTACAAAAAAAAGCCAACTAAAATGAAATGTTTCTGTAAATTAACTTGATATAAAAAAACTAAATTCTGTCACTCGACGGACAGAGAACAATTCAGAAAACATAAGGGAGAATATCAAGACAAAACAGCTGCTCCACTGAACTCCATTCTGTTATTAATTGTATTTTTTCAATGTAATAAGTTTATTCTAAAATATAAACGAATGTACTGCTGTTCACAAGCTGCTCTATACAGGCATCTAGTGGTGACACTATACAATAGCAGATGTTTTTCTTTTTTTTGCAACTAGATGGCGCTAATCTACCTTTTAAAATTTGGATTTGAATGACAAGAATTTTTACTTGAAATACTGCATGTCCTTTCTTTTATATATATATAAACATATACATATATATATATATATATATATATATATATATATATATATATATATATATATATATATATATATATATATATATATATATATATATATATATGCACAAAATAAATAATATAGAATTTTCAATAGAAAAATATTATGAATTATTGTTGCATACATTTTATATCTCAAAATTCAAAATAAAGTGCAAAATTAATTAACAAAATTAATATTGAATGATTTTACAAAAAAGAAGACATTATGCAGAGGTCCAGTCACTTTTGATCATAAAATCTACAACCGTGACTTCCTAAATGAGAAACATAGCTGGCTTAAGGGCATCTAACTTAGTTACAAGTCAGAGTTATGTGTTGTGTGTTTTGTTTTTCCTGTTCTGAAGCCTAACTGCAGTCTGGTTGCTCACCGGTCCATGAAAAATCATAAAATGCAATCACCTGTTTTGTACAGTCCTTCTACTGTAAAACCCAACAGCCAACTTTATCAAATGAAATGAGTGCAGTTAACTCAAAATATACTGAAATAGAAAAAAAAAAGATTATGAATTGTTGCATACATTTTATATATATATATATATATATATATATATATATATATATATATATATATATATATATATATATATATATATATATTTATATATAATAAAGTACAAAATTATTAAACAAAATTGAATTTGAATGATTTTACCAAAGTAAAGTAAATTTTACTCTTTTGAAAAGAGTTTTGAAGTCAGAGTTGAAAGTAAAGCGTTATTAAATACCTCATTTCTTCAGTTTAAATGGAGTAAGTTCACTGTACTTTTATAGATTAGTTTTTAACTCAAGTTGTTGCAATCAGTTTCCTCATCGTTGGAGTTGCCCTAACATATTGGGTTTTACGGTACTCAACTGGTATGAGTTCTCTTTATTTATTAGGTTTTACTCCATGTGCTCAAATTGTTTTGTTTACTCAAATGGATTAAGCTCACAGTACTCATTAGGATTAGTTTTAGAACTTAAATGGTTTGTTGCGATCGGTTTCCTCAAATGGTTTGTTACCTCAAATTTTTGGGTTTTACAATGTAGGGTACACCTTTTCTTCTCCATATGCACTAGAAGCTTTTCTACAAACACACGTTACAAGGACTCAATAATAATTTTAGTAATAACAATAATAACATCTGCTAAGCTAACTTAAACTCTTGTGATTTGAAATACTTCTTTTCACCTCATTTGCAAGTCTCTTTCAACAAAAGCATCTGCTAAATTAATATTGCAAGTAAAAATTAGATGAAATATACTATATCACTGCTTACATGAATAGGATTAGAGTAATAATTTTTTTTATTAATAATTGGCCAATGTTATAACCATTATAACATAATGTATATGTATTAGCCAGTGCAAGCATTTTACCAGCTGTTTGGGTAAAATAGTTCTATATATTTGACATTCAAATCAAGGAGAGGTAGCGTAGTTTTAATGTGAATTATTTTATTTATTACAAGTTATTTAATTTGTGTTTGTAAAAGGAAAGATACCATTATTTGATTTAAATCCTAGAGGCTAAACTATTTCACAATATTTGCACATCAGTATGACAAATCCAATTCTGTGGTGGAATTAAGTCCCAACCCCAAAAACCGTAATGAAGAGGATGTGAGGTAATACAATATATAATATGTCAACAAGCTTTTCTATCATCTCTTTCTCTTAATTTATTGCCAATAATCGAAGACCGAGGATGACTGAGAGGTGTCCAAATCTCTAGAATCTCCCTGGAGGTTTCACACCCATCCCTCTTCACACACAAGGCTGTTCTCACATCCACACCCTGAGAAGAACACCGAATGATCAGAGTACACAGTGAACAACCCTTCCATAGAAAATACACTGTCATGTATTTAGTGGTTTCCTTTACTTGGAGATATAAAGGTGCCAGGAAGAATCAAAAAGAATGGGTTATATCAGGGGTCACCAATCTCGGTTCTGGAGGGTGGGTGTCCCTGCAGGGTTTAGCTCCAACTTGCCTCAACACACCTGCCTGGATGTTTCAAGTATACCTAGGAAGTCCTTGATTAGCTTGTTCAGGTGTGTTTGATTATTGTTTCCAGGAACAAGTTTGGTGACCACTGGGTTATATGCACAGCAAGTGTTTAGACCAGGGGTCTCAAACTCAATTTACCTGGGGGCCGCAGGAGGCAAAGTCTGGGTGAGGCTGGGCCGCATAAGGGATTTCACAAAAGAAAAGTCCTCAAATGTCATTATTAACAGTTTTAATTATTTCTTCTGAACATGAAGTGTCCTGAACATTAATAGAACATTGAGTGAAGATTATGAACAGTTCTTCTGAACATGGCATATTTTGCCTACTCCTTGCTGCCAGAGACTTGACAGCGCTTCTTCTCACAAATCTGAACCACATTTGGCTTTAGAGCGGAAGCAGTTGAGACCCTCAGTATGGCTTGAAGATGACCATCATTAAGTCTAGACCTGTACTTTGACTTATTGAAGTCCTAGGGGAAAAAAGTGGGGGAACTCACTCAAAACTTCCATTCCCTCACCTAAAAAAGGCGTATATATGTATAAATAAAACACCCCCACCCCACTCCAGTCACATCAGTCTGTACCAGTCTGTATCTACCTATAATATCAATATATATAAGATGCAGGGCAGGCACGTGCACACATAGGGCTCAACCTGTGCAGAGCACATGCCCTTTTTAGTCTTGCATAGAAAGTGCCCTTCCAAAATGATCAAAAGTGCCCCCGCGACGCGACACACCCTCGATCCCGCCCTTCAGTAGGCGCGCGATAACACCACTCTTGAGTACGCGCGCGACAACACAGCTGATCAAAACGCGCGCGACAACGCGCATTGAGTGACAAGCGCGCTGTGTACGGATAGAATCAGCGGAGCGGAGAGCGCTCTCTCTCCCCGCTCCGCTGATTCTGTCAGAGTATACAGCGGTCGGTGCGGGCCACAAAATATTGCACTGAGGGCCGCAAATGGCCCGCGGGCCGCGAGTTTGAGACCCCTGGTTTAGACACTGATAAACTTCCGGTGAAAGGTTTATGTGACTAAATTTCATAAGGTTCCTTTTGCTACAAAGATGTTGTAACGTACTTAAAATATAATCACTGAAAGCTGCAGTATGTAAGTTTGATACCCATTGGTTGAACTAGGTGTTGCATTCCCGAATCAAAACAAACGCAAGCGCATGTTGCCAAATTGAGGTCAAAAAGTCTGGTGATGATCGAGCCAAAAGGCTGATTTAAATCGTTTGCTAACTAACAGCAACGACTTGCAATAGAAGGAATGTTTTCATATTAACAGGAGTTTTTGTTCTAACCAACTTGAATGGATATATTAGAAACGGTTTATATTTCTTGCCGCTAAACAACAGAAAACTGACAATGATCTCCTCAGGTACACCTCATGTGCTTTATTCAGTGTTAAATGCTAACAATGCGAGTTTGAATGGCATTTTACATGACATTTATTGTTATTCTCCTGAAAGCAGCATCAGATAGTTCACCTCAGATCTTGGAAAATAAAATGAACCGTTTGAAATTAGAACTGTGACTCAAAACCAACATATCAGTGATTCAGCACATTTAATAACGTTAAAGAGGTTTAACATGTATTAAATAGATTATAAACCTTACCATTTCGTGAGTGAGTGCATATTCTGTGCTTCTGAATGCTGCAATAAATTACTGTCATGTTTCGTCTGGTGTAAACAGCCAAATTGCTTATTACTGCAAATCTTGTCATGTACACAGCAAAATCCTCAAAGTAAAATTGACTCAGTTCAGAGAATTTTTGGTCCCTCTCTAAATTGAGTAAAAATTACTCAACAGCAGAGTTAAAGTTAATGAGACAATGATGGGGTTAATTAAGTGACGATTGAGCACTGATGATGAACACCTGCTGTTAATAAGCAGAAACAAAGAAGAGAAATGCAAAACTACAGCTGCGTCCCAAATCGCATACTTACCCAACAAACACATTTACGTTGTAGCGATGTCTGCACAACGTTGTATTTTTTCAAAGACAACGTTGCCGCTTACGTGTTCGCTACATTGTCACAACGTAGAAATGTAAGACGTGAGAAGGCTGTAGCAACGTTGTCGTGGGACATTCAGCAACCGCGAGGCGGCGTTCTTACTACCTGTATTAATATTTTTTTGTGGCAGTTTATCAATACTGCCTAGAATACAGGATAAGCAGCAATTCTTTTCCAGTATTGCTTAATATTAAATATTGTTCATTTATTTTTCCTATTTCATTTAACAACTGCATGTGTAAACTTTAAAGTGTAAAAATGCCACAAATGAATATAATCAAACTTTTTATTATATATTTCACAACATTTAATACGTACAGTACACAAACAGTATCTAATTATAAGCAAACAGTATAAAATAAAGTTTAGATTATATATATATATATATATATATATATATATATATATATATATATATATATATATATATATATATATATATATATATATATATATATATATAATTAAACTAAAGGGTAAACAAACAAGAAATCATTAAAATGTAAATAAATATATAAATAAATATATAAATTAAAATTCAAACACTGGGCAGTGAAACTCTGGACTGGAGAATACAGCAGACCGGGGAGCGCAGCTGAAGACCAGTCGTAGTTGTTGGTATGGAGAAGGCAGTCAGAAGAAAAAAACAATTCAACGGATAATCCAGCTTCAGAGATCCACAGCAGACACAAGTCAAAATAGGCAGTGAACAAGAGAGGACAGATCAGAGCTTGACACAACAGCACTACACAGGAAATGACTATGACTAGCAAGTTATTGAAGTTTCAGACATTTATTGTAATTTCATTACATATAAAATCTCCAGAGTAATTATGTAGCCTATACTTTATTTTATTGTTTTCATAATATATCATATACCAAAATTACATACAATTAAATAAATTTAGAGTTACAGGGAAAACAGGTTTAAGTTAACAGAAGTCAGAGTTAGTCTCCGAATACTTACTTAAATTATGAGAAGAGAAAGAAGAGGCCCTGTAGTTGTGGCGTTGCTCGCTGTAAATGGAATGTTAAACTTAGTGTCATTTCAATAAAAGCTGTACAAAATAATAAAGTAATTTTTCATAAGCATGATCTATTTTCCACATTATGGACATGCTGTTTTAGGTAACATAACTACATTTAATAGTAAATAAAATAGTATACTTCTTACCTCATCCAATTCTTCTTTCCATAGATCAGGAATTACAGCAACACTGATCTGAGGTGAATTCAACAGCTGAAAACATTCTGAAAGACAAGTTACACCAGTAATTTGAAAACAACAGTGAGTGGTTAAACAATAGAGTTTTATGCAACTTACGCATAATTAAAATCCAGAAATTATCAATAGAAGATTACCTCCATGTAAAAATAGCCTGTTGAGCAAAGAGAAGAGTGGGTTTTAAATAAAACATCAAAAGACCAATCAAAATAGAAATTTCGACTAGCAGACCTTTTAATTACTATCTATATTAATTAGGCATATGAACATTAATTTATATACTTTAACTTATAGGGATAGCTCACCCAAAACTGACAATTCTGCCATTTTAGCCTCATCCTTTATTTGTTGCAAACTTATTTAGCTTTTTTTCTGCTAAACAATAAAGAAGATATATTAAATAAAGCTGGAAAACTGTAACTATTTAATTCCATAGTGTTTTCCTACTATGAAAGCAAATGCTTACAGTCTTTAGTGTTCAACAGAATAAAGAAACGTAAAGGTTTGGAATCACTTATTATTTACAGGGCAAATAATTCGTGAGTACATATCATTTTTGAGTGAACTGTTCCTTTAACGGGACGCAATCTACACAGAGATGTTTTGTTTTTAAAAGTTATTTTGTGTGTTGTAAAAAGTGGGTCGGCTCGTGTGATGAAGTATAATACTGACTGATCACGATGGATGTGGAAAAAACTGAACTTCAAAAACATTATTGTCCATTTGATTAAAGACAAGGCGTAGGTAAATAATCAGGAAATGTTTTATCGAGAGATTTAACATGTGATGTTGGAAAAGATTGTTGTCGAAATCGTAGGTTTGTTTGAATATTCACGATTTACGTATCCTATTTAGCAAGAAGAAATAAAGCAATACTCACGTCTCCTCGGTCGTTGATGAATGAGACGACGGCTTGTTGAAATTTAAACTGATTCAGCTGTGACCAGTAAATGTTGTACAGTGGTCGTCCACGCCACCTAAGCACAACCTAAAGCATGCGACCCTCATGATGTTTAAATGGCAACCTTATGACATCGTTGTGACAACCTTTAGCAACAACGTAGAATCCTCAGCCTTTTTGCAATGTTGATACAACGTTGTAGGAAGGTCGCTACGTTGAGGCAACGTTGTGTGTTTGTTGGGTATGCACTATTTTACGCCATTTTGTAGTATAAATAGTGTAAGTAGTGTGTTCACATTGAAAACTCTAACAATAATAAGTGTACTTTAATTACCCGGATGATGCACTCATTCAGCCGCTAAAATGAAGTGTGTAATGATGGACACTTCACGCACTCAACGACCGCAGGTTTGCTTACGTAGCGGAAGGGGCGGAGCTATCGGACGCACATGTTGAATAACTTTATTTATTTTGGATGGTGAAAGCAAAATTCTCCTACGAGAGTGATTATAGCGCCTCCGGATGGTAAATACGGCAATACTCACGGCAGGAATTACTTGATAATTCAGTCGTTAATTTCACTGATTTGGCAACAGTCAAACGTCATCAGGGAAACGGTTTGAATTTCCGCTTAGTAAAAAAACATTAGTGTGCCATTTGGGACAACACTACATACATATACTATCCTGTTGAGTGTGTAAGTGCATAAGTACATAGTGCATGAGTGCATAGTGTATAGTGTGCCATTTGGGACGCAGCTTACATCTGACTTCAGTCACTGTTGGTCCCCCGTCAATAGAGCAGCCATTTTAGTACAGGGTAGCACTCCTTTGAAATGAATGTGGGACCAAGGTGCAGTGCAGGACTGGCTATCCAGAGCCATAGAAATGCACACATATATACCTATATACATATATCTATGATCAGGAGATTTCCCGGTGGTCATCCAAATATCCAAATATTTTTTCAATTACGAAAATTATAATTTGACATTACTTTTCTATGTTGATGGATAAGTGACCATACGGCATTTCCGTCAAAGAGCGTGTGTTTGCGTGCATGGAAATTTACTATCCTCCCTCCCTGTTAAATTTCATCTAATTGGTATAATGAAACACACCTCTTCTCCTGCTTTCACTTCTCATACTGACGGAGGTTCGTTAGTGAGTAAATTTCCATTATGTACAACTCGTTCACTTTGAGACGATAGTACAAGTTTCTAAACACTTGTAAAACATATGCTGGATAAATTGGTGGTTCATTCCACTGTGGCGAGCCCAGATTAATAAAGAGACTAAGCTGAAGGCAAATGAATGAATGTTTTGTATTGCAATAAAAAGTTCAAACTTGGTTCGTTGCAGACTTGTGGATTCTCTGTTTTTTTTTCTTCATCTTCACTCCTCTGACTCTGAAGTGTTGTGTCCTGTACTTCGGCAGAGCGATGCAAGAAACCGCTGATAAGCTCAACATCCCCAAATAATCCCAAATATTCCCCACAGAGGCCCTGTTTTGCGGGTTGCCCAGGGACAGCTGTTGCTAGGCAACCAATGACATCACTACAGCAATAATTCTCAGCCTCATCAGAAGACAGACAGAAAAAAAGTGTGAGCGAAATGGAGAGAAGGACAAAGTGTCTGCCTCTTAACTGTGTGCTGGCTATGGTTGTCATTAATTTGACAGCTGTGTTCTAGATTTAGTTGCCCTCTGAATAAAAAAAAAAAAAAGCTTAATGCTGAGAACCCGAGTGAGGGCAGCCTTTCGGTTTAACAGACAACAGTGTTTTATTTATGAGCGTTTTTATTCCTTTGTAAAAAATAAATGTGTTTTTACTTCATTTTTAAATTTAATTTTTTAATTTTCCTTTGGCTCAGTCCCTTATTTATCAGAAGTCACCACAGCGGAATGAACCGCCAACTATTCTGCCATATTTTTTTACACAGAGGATGCACTTCCAGCCGCACGTATTGTGAAACTCCCATACACTCATATACAATAGCCAATTTAGTTGATCTAATTCATCTATAGCACATGTCTTTGGACTGTGGGGGATACCGAAGCACCCGGAGGAAACCCACGTGAACACCGGGAGAACATGCAAACTCCACACAGAGATGGCAACTGGCAAGGCCAGGAATCGAACCGGTGACCTTCTTGCTGTGAGGCGACAGCGCTAAGCACTGTGCCACCATACCACCCATGTAAATTTCAATTTATATTATTTATCATTCAGTGCAACTATATATATATATATATATATATATATATATATATATATATATATATATATATATATATATATATATATAGTTGCACTGAATGATATATATATATGAATTTATCACATGAATTTTCAAAGCTCAAAATTAAGGATTTACCAAATTTATCTCTGACCACACGAAACATAAATAATTAATTATTTCTTAGCCACAAATTTTAAATGTGTCAAAACAAGCTAAATTTAAAAAAATACTTTTAATTCAACAAAACATATGCATAGTAATCTGTCCTGGCTAAAGGTCTCTCAGATTTACCACACAAAAATGGGGAGTTAATCTCCCATTGAAGCAATGTTATTGTAAAAAATGATAGCTAAACCATATTAACGCAAAAAAAAAAAAGCAGGTGAAAAACCGTGTGCGATAATAAAAGGATGATCACACATAGTTAAAGTGAAAGCAGCCACTGCTACTTACAAAAAGACAAATCTGGAGCTCTTAAAAAAGCAATAAGACTGTGGCTGCATGTTCAGCCCTTTATGTGTAGTCTGTTTGAAAGAGAACCGATCACATCAGTTGTGTTTAGCTGTCATGACAAGATAAACAACTTTCCTATGCAGATAATATAATATGTTGCAGCATACAATGAGTGGACTGTGCCTCCCTTTCTTCATTTTGTGCAAGTTAGGACTGTAAACTAGTTGACTGAACTTTAGGCCTAGATCATATATGAAGTGAATCGAGGCACGGTTGCTTCACGCAAGGAAACGGGAGCGCGCACGCGTTTTAAACAGTCGTGCACATCACATCAGTTGTTAGCGTGAGTGATTTTCCTCTCATTTGGTATTCATCTGCTTTCTATTGCTTGTGCAAATGCAATTATTTTTGTCAGTCGTGTTGTTTCTCAATTCTAAGATCGCATTTGCATGCATATTGGACCATCCTTATTGTCGAACCCTGCTTTTAAGGTATTATTATCCGGGGAAATTATTTTCAAACTGCCTAAGTGGTTAATGGGAGTGTCTTTCTTACCCGCTACAGCTGAAATCTACCCGCATTTGGTGGGTTGGCGGGTGTTAAAGTCAAGCCCTGAAGAGGGACAAATTTTCGAGCAATTTTTGTAATTGCTTCAGCAAACCAAGACATTTTGGACGAGTTCATGCTCTCACAGTTAAAGTCAGAATTATTAGCCCCTTTTGATTTTTATTTTCTTTTTTCAATATTTCCCAAATGGTTTTTAACAGAACAATGAAATTTTCACAGTATGTCGGATAATATTTTTTCTTCTGGAGAAAGTCTTATTTGTTTTATTTCGGCTAGAATAAAAGCAGTTATTAATTAAAAAAAAAAAAACATTTTTGGGAAAAAATTATTAGTCTCTTTAAGCTAATTTTTTTTTTCATTAAGCTACAGAACAAACCATCGTTATACAATAACTTGACTAATTACCCTAACCTGCCTAGTTAACCTAATTAACCTAGTTAAGCCGTTTAATGTCACTTTAAGCTGTATAGAAGTGTCTTGAAAAATATCTAGTAAAATATTGTTTACTGTCATCATGGAAAAGATAAAATAAATCAGTTGTTAGAAATGAGTTTTTAAAACTATTATGGTTAGAAATGTGCTGAAAAAAATCTTCCCAGAACAGAACAGAAATTGGGGAAAAAAATAAACAGGGGCGCTAATAATTCGGGAGGCTAATAATTCTGACTTCAACTGTATGTTCTAACAGGTCTGTGCACCAATGTACATAGCAAGGTTTATAAAGACTTGGAAGAGTGAGTTTGGTGTAGAGCAGCTTGACTGGCCTGCACGGAGTCCTAACCTCAACCCAACAGATAACCTTTGGGAGTGGAGTGAAGACATCTTGTCCAACATCAGGGCTTGACCCTTCAAATGTTCTTCTAAAAGAATGTTAAAAAATCCCATAAAATCATCCCTAAACCTTGTGGGAAGCCTTTAAAAATGTATATACCATGTGTATTTACAGCCTGATCTCACGAGAAAACGTAACTATTTTACGTTTTGCCAGTTTAGTGGCTAATTCGTACGAATTCGTACGATTTCAGTCGTACGAAATGATACGATTTTAAAAAGGAGGCGTGGCACCTAACCCCACCCCTAACCCCAACCGTCATTGGGGGAAAAGCAAATCGTTCTAAATTGTACGAATTCGATCGTACGAATTCATACGAATTAGCCACTAAATGAAAAAGTTACGAATTGCCGTGAGATTGTGTTGGTATTTATGTATACATAACACCTATACAGTGGCGCAAAAAGGGGGTATGCAGTATATGCGGCACACATGGGGGCGCCATTGTGCCAAAACTATTTTTGAAATTATCCATATTAAAAGTTTCAAATAATATATATATATATATATATATATATATATATATATATATATATATATATATATATATATATATATATATAATTTTTTTTTTGTTAAAAATTTTATTTAGCATTTTATACGCATATAATGTTGTATTTAATTAAATTTAAAAATCTACATGTTTTTATGAATTTATTATGTATCATATTGATTCATCAGGCCTTTTGGTAAAAAAATATCTTTAATTTATTAATGGAAATATTTTCCACATTTTATCACTTGCCTGTTATAAAATATAGTTGGATTGAAAAAGGGGCGCGCAAAAGTTGAAGCCGCATACCCATCACATACCAATGTGCAGTTGCGCCCCTGCACCTATATATGTATATATAACATCAATTCCAAATACACTGATTTCTGTAGGATGTATTTGCTTGACTCAGAAGGACTAGGGAACATCCTCCACTCCTTGACTAAGCTGTCTATAAATAAAAGAGAAGAGAGAAGGATGACAGAGGGATAAAGGGGGGAGGTTAAAGAGGCTGCAGGTAAAGTACATTTCCCCTTATCCTTTGCTTTCTCGGTGCCAGACACGGTCAAATGTGTGCTTGTACTTTTTAGACTGTGCCTGCGACTTGGACAAACTCTGACACTCTCTGTCTTTAGCCATGTGTCTGACTATGATGAGCATGGCAGCATGTGCACTGTTGTCATGGCTGGTGAGTAAAGAGTGTTTCCCTGTAGAGTAGTGTACATTCAACACCAATTTATTCACTGAAAAACTGTTATGAAAAACCTGCTGCTTACATTAAACATGATAATTACTGCATATTTTACCGTGCAATATGATGTATTTTGAAGTGAAACAAACAAAAACAATTATAGGGATTTGATTGGATTGTGAAAAGTGGACAAAGTGTCTGAATAGCTGTTTGACTAATGGTTAACACAGGATTTCTGCAGGTTTCACCGAGTTAAATGTAAGACTTTTAAAAACATTTTTAAGATCATTATGAATGAAATTTAAGACTCATGAAGTGCTAAAGGCTATATTTTTCAAATGACCTAGATGGAAAAGATTTTTATTTGACCAAACAAAAGAAATTATAATTTAATATTTATAATACATTAATAGTCAACAATTAAATATTTTAGATTTTATGTCTTAGCTAAATATTTTAAATATTGTGTAAAACATGCAAGCTCTACTTGTTTTCATACACTTTTTATCCCAACATAAACTTCGTTAAAATAAAAAAATGAGCAAATGTTTTAAAAGGTTTAAAAACGATAATAAACTAAATTTATGGACAACAATCTGTCCAGGTGGGTGTCATCAGCAGTAAATACATGGATAACTTTTAAACAAATGTTATTGTAAGGAAAATAATTAAACTGTTATGATGTTGAACTGTTATAAGAGTTTAAAATTACCTTTTTAAATAAAAAGTTTAAAATTTTATTGAGATAATTGTTGGTGATTGTATGGGTTTTGGCCAGATTGGGTAGCAATACATGAACAAAGGAAAATTAAGACCTGTTTAAAAACGTTTTAAGACCTACAACACAGTAATTCATTAAATGTAAGACTTTTTAAGGCCCAAAGTTTGGATTTTGAGATTTATGACATTTTAAGACTTTTTAAAACCCTGCAGAAACCCTGTAACAGTATTCAACAGCCTACATGGTCTGGTGACGTCAGCAGAAAAGAGTTGTTGTGGAGGTAGAGCCAGTTACTATACTGTGGGGAAAATAAGTATTGAACACATCATGTTTTTTTTTCAGGGAATGATATTTCTAAAGGAGCTGGAATTGAGCCAGATTTTGGTAAAAATTCAAACATAAAAATAAAACAAAAAAAATTTAAAATCTGAAAATTTCGGTATGTGTAATAACAACTAAGGAGAAAGCACTGAACTAATGCTAAATTTAATACTTTATGTAAAAGACTTTTTTAATGATGGCAGCTTAAAGACACCTCTAATATGGAGAATGAAGTGAAATGCATTGCTCAGGTGTGATTTATTTTTATTTTTCACAGACAGAGATCTTGATGGTTCTGTAGGTCTCGTTGATCAAATCTGATCTTTATTTTATATTGGATTCAAGTCAGGTGATTGGATGGGCCATTCTACAGCTTGATTTTCTTTCTCTGAAATCATTCGAGAAATTCCTTGGCTGTGTTTTGGGTCATTGTCTTGTTGAAATGTCCACTCTGGTTTCATCTTCATCATCCTGCTACTGTAAATATTGGACTTGGAGTTGAAAAGCAACTAAAATTAATTTACAATGACAAAGGGGATGCTGAATAAGATCTGAGAGATTTCAGCTGCTCTCTGGGATTTCACTGCCTTTCTATGCCTCCCTTGCTTTATGAGTTCAATTCTTTTTCCTGTGTTATTTCATTTCATTACATATAACTTCAACTAAAAAACAAAGTAGATTTGTTTTTTTGTTTGTTTGTTTGTTTGTTTGTTTGCATATAGGGATTTCTTGAGTTGCTATGTTGCTATCAACATCCAGTGACAATTTTAAGTCAACAGCACCTTTAGAAATATGTTTTCTGAGAAAAATGGTGAGATATTCAATATTTCCCCACTGTATGGTGATTACAATATCATGTCAATATCATCAAATTGTTAACAATAACACCAAGTGTGTGTAATAAGAAACTTTTATGTTAACACGCCATGTTGACTTACAACACATTTATTAAAAAGGTTGTGATTCTGCTTAAGGTGAGAGTGCAGCCAAAAAAAAAGTGACTTTATGATCCTGTCTTTTCTGAGATTCCAAGCTTTTTGGCTTTTCTTAGTGTGTTTTTTCAGTCTAATGTGAAAAAATTATTCAGAATATGCAGTTAAATGTTTACTTTGTCACATTTTATCAATCTGTGTCTGTATATTTCAATTACAAAACTATTTTTTTCTCCTGTATTAAACTATAAATCTCTGCTTCAGCAGGACTTTCAAAACTGTACAAATTAAGCTCTACAGTTTTTTTACAATCTTTTGAGAAAGACAAAAAACAAACAAAACAAAAAACAATCTTATTTAATTAACTGGGAAAGTATATCAAAACCTTATTCATGTGTAGTGTCTTTGCTTAGCGTTTTATTTTCAGATGTACAATATAAAGTACTTTGAGGGCTAGGAGCAGTTGAGATAACCAGGGCCTCGGGATCGTATTGCAGATTACTCCTCATATTACTGATGGCACACAGAGCAGTGCTAATCTGTCACTATTTGAGAGGGATTAGCTCAGATATGACGTCGAGTGAGCTGTCCACAGTGACAAATGTTTGGGAACTATTTGATATTTGTAAAACCAACCTTGTGGCATAGCACCAGAAAACATTTCATCTTGCATCGGCTTAGTCCCTTTATCTATCAGGGGTCACCACAGAGGAATGAACCACCAATTTATCCAGGATATTTTTTTACACAGTGGATGCACTTCCAGCTGCAACCCAGTACTGGGAAACACCCATACACTCTTGCATTGTGAAATGTAATTAATGAAATACATATGGTGAGCTCATATTAAATTTTATTATAGTTTAAATGATTTAAAACATCTTTTCTCTTTACAGAACAACAAGACAATCATCTTGTGTAAAAACATGAATATTTTTACGTAAGTCATTATTTTAGCCCCAACTGTTTGCATGTTATCTTTGTTTTCATGTGGGTTTCCTCTGGGTGCTCTGGTTTTCCCCACAGTCCAAAGACATGCAGTACAGGTGAATCGAACAGGCCAGTGGTTCTCAGACTTTTTTCATCGGCTACCACCTCAAAAATAAATTGTCCCTCCAAGTACCACGATAATGACCGGTATTGAAATCAAGTAACGTAGTAGGCCCAGTAAAACAGCTACAGCTCTGACAGCTTTAACCACTATTTTTAAGAAAATAATTTTTATTATCAGCCACTTTAAACATTATAAATACATTTGAACATTAACACTGTACTGTGTCTAAAAAAAACAAACAAACAAAATAAAATGTCAACGTTTAAATTAAAACGTGCTTTTAAAAGTTAATTAAAAAGGGTAGGCTACTGTTCTTAAAAAGTAAAAAAATAAATAAAAAACTCCTGTACTTAAATGTAAAGTGTTAACCTATAGTATCCTGTTTAACAAAACCTGGAAATGTTGCTTGGACCTGAAAAATATAGGCATGACATTTTTGTTGCATATGACATATTGAATTCCTCTGCGTACCACTAGTGGAACACGTACCACAGTTTGAAAACCACTGGAATAAGCTAAATTGGCAGTAGCATATGTGTGTGAATGCAAGAGTGAATGGGTGTTTCACAGTTTTGCGGCTGGAAGGGCATCCGCTGAGTAAAAACATATGCTGGAAATGTTGGCGGTTCATTCCACTGTGGCGACCCCTGATCAACAAAGGGACCAAGCTGAAAAGAAAATGAATGAATGAAAAGTCATTATTTTTCCAGAGATGGGTTGCGACTGGAAGGGCATCCGCTGCGTAAAAACGTGCTGGATAAGTTGGCGGTTCATTCCGCTGTGGCGACCTCGGATTAATAAAAGGGACTAAGCTGACAAGAAAATGAATGAATGAATGAATGAAAAGTCATTATTTTTGAAAGGGGTCCGAATGCAGACCTGATGCAGATGCGATCTGAGCTGCATGCAAAGCTTTTTAATAGGCTCACCAAACTCCACCTCTAACGCTACCCGTCACAGTGACGTCACTTGCTATATTGTGTTTCTGAGAAATGCAATCTCAGCTTGATAAAGGCTGCATCAAGATATTGTGATTTTTTGCTCAGATAATAAAGGTGATGTTAAAATAATATAGGTCCTCTGTTTGGGAACAAATGCAGCATCTTTTTGATGTACTTTTTTTTTTTTTTTTTTTGATGTGCTGCTGTTTGCTGCTAAATAAAGTTTCGTAAATGCTCACACAGACTCTGCTCTCCGTTAAGTGACACTCCTGTAACTCAATTCACACCTATTAAAATTTTAAGTGCGTGATAAGTTGTATCAGACACAGACCTCGATGTGCTTTTGCAAGTTGAATAAACACAGTAGCTCTGTTCCAAAAGCTGGTGAGCTTCCTCTCTGCCTTCTATGGGCAGCATCCTGAGAGAAAAGGCACCTCATAAGTGACTGATTTGGAACGCTCTACATAGGCTTTATGTGTCACATTATTAGAGCTCCACACATGAGACTCGCTTATAATTGCAATACAGATGGCACCATACGCTTCAAATGTATTTTAAAATGTACAAGAAATGGCCATTAATATATATTTGAAAAAAATATATTCATATACAAATTCCACAAATAGGAAATTTTCACAATGTTTTTTAAAATATAAAAAAAAGAGTGTTTGGTTTATTATTTTGTAAGAAAATACATAAATTTAACACTGGAAGAAAATTATTTGTGTGTAATTTTCATTTATTTGATGTCTGAAATACCTAATGCAAGTTACTAAATAAGCTGTTAACTTTAACAGACAAAAAAAAAAAAAAAAAACTGCTAGGTTTTTATAGTTGTACTGTATACAACTATATATAATGGCACATGCTCTTTAGATCAGGGGTCACCAATCCTGGTCCTGGAGGGCCGGTGTCTCTGTAGGGTTTAGCTTCATCTTGCCTCAGCACGCCTGCCTGGATGTTTCAAGTATACCTAATAAGACCTTGATTAGCTTGTTCAGGTGTGTTTGATTAGGTTTGGAGCTAAAATCTGCAGGACACCGGGCCTCCAGGAACAAGTTTGGTGGCCACTGCTTTAGATCAGTGATTCTCAAACTTTTTTCACCAAGTACCACCTCAGAAAAAAATTGTCTCTCCAAGTGCCACCATAATGACTGGTACTGAAATACATAGTAAGCCTAAATAAGCGGCTGCAGCTCTGCACAGTTTACAAACGTGGCAGATTAATTCTTACTATTATGAAAATGTATTATTGTCAGCAACTTTAAACATAATAGTTTAAACAATAACACACTTACAGGTAAAACATAATAAAATGTCAATGTTTACATTAAAATGTGATTTTAAAAGTTAATTATTAATGGCACTGTTCTTAAAAAGTTAAAAGAAAACTGCTGTTCTTAAATGTAAAGTATCATAAAGTAGCCCATTCATCATAATGTTTCCTGGACCTCATAAATATAGGTTACACCGTATGTCATAATATTCATATTTAACTCTGTTCGATAATTTTTGAAATATATGTTGCATGTAGATATGACTTATTTGTTTGTCTTTGAAATCTGAAAGTTAACTTGTATTTTAAATATATGAATTGGATTTAGCCTACATATTTAAATTAGAAACTAGATCTGCTTAGTTTTCGTTAGAGTAGGCTATGTGTGTCAGAGAAGCAAGTGATTAAACTATACTTTTCAACATTTGGATATAAAAATATGAGATACGCCCACAACAACATTTACAAGTATGGGGAGGAAAATAACCTCAAATGATAGAATACATAACAAGCATTAGAAAAATGAAGATAAAATAAAAAGTTTAGCCTATTAAAATCAATTTCCTGATCACATTGTTGTTATCTTACGCCTCAAAGGGTTAAAAGTGTGTTCATTGTTTTACTTGAATTATACAGCGATTCCTCCGCGTGCCACTAGAAGGAAGCCTGCGTACCACTTATGGTACATGTACCACAGTTTGAGAACCGCTGCTTTAGATCTCATCCACTTTCCATTTTAAGTTAATAAAAAAATGTTCTTGAGCCTGAAATGCATTTTGAAATATATTTTTGTTATATAAAGGTTTAAATGAAATATATGTTTGTAATATTTTTTTCTTAAAGGCAATTCAGCATTTTCAATTGATTCTCACAGTTACAAAATTAGCCTATATCAAATATATAAAAGACATAAGAGAAACTATATGATTGTAAGTGATTAGTAAAAAACATGTTAATAAAATAGGGAATTGTTGAACAGTACTTGAAGCTACTAAGCTCATTTTACCTCTATTTGAGATGATTTGTTTTCTACTTAGAGGATGATATTGGTCAGTCAGTCTGTAGACCCCCTGTAGAGCTCTCTGTGTGTGTAATGGGCTATAGAGTCTGTGGTTAGACAGATTGTTTAATGTGCTTAGTGGACAGGATTTCCTATTCTTTCTATGTGGGGTAAAGTAGAGTAGAGGCCTTCTCCATCCAAAGTAAATAATCGATTGTCTCTCTCTCTCTCTGTTTCTGACCTGCCTCATCCATTGTTTATGGTTGACCTCTGACCTCTGAGGCGGGCAAGTTTTTCTGGACTAAAGGAGGACAAGACGAAAGAGGACACCTGGACACAATGGTGAGTAAGAAAGATGGGAGGGTTTTTTTAGGTGCAAACTAGAATTTCATCTCATGGTAGATAATAATTATACTACACAAAAAGGTGGTGAATATCACTAAAAGTGTTTCTTCGACTTGTAATCATAAGGGAACCACTTTTAGTGTGACATTAGCACATAGATCTTAAAGATACGCAGCACCATTACCACTCCAAAGAACCACGAACTAAAGAACCTCTATTGGTACTATAGCACCTAAATTGCTTCCCCTACACTATCTGGCAATAATCTTGTGGCTTATCCAAGTTTTAGAAACAACAAATAATAACTTGATTTCTAGTTTATCATTTGGTATCAGAAGTGGCTAATATGAAAGGGAAGCCTCTAGATTAGGCTTATTTTACCTAAATAAAATATGATCATGTCTTGATTTTGAATTAGTTCATTAGGACAGTAAGGTCTGACTTTGCTTAGATAAAAGTCTTGTCACTTAACAGAAATAATGAACAGTATAAAATATGAAGTTGTGTTGCAATGGAAAAATAATTAATATTGTGTATGACTCCCATGAGCTTGGAGGACTGCATCCATACATCTCTGCAATGACCCAAATAACTTATTTATTAAGTCATCTGGAAGGCAAAGAAAGCGTTTTTGCAGGACTCTCAGAGTTCATCAAGATTCTTTGGATTCATCTTCAATGCCTCCACCTTCATCTTACCCCAGACATGCTCAATAATGTTCATGTCTGGTGACTGGGCTGGCCAATCCTGGAGCACCTTGACCTTCTTTGCTTTCAAGAATTTGATGTGGAGGCTGAAGTATGAGAAGGAGCGCTATCCTGCTGAAAAATTGGCCTTTTCTGTGGTTTGTAATGTAATGGGCAGCACAAATGTCTTGATGCCTCAGGCTGTTGATGTTGTCATCCACTCTGCAGATCTCTCGCACACCCCCATACTGAACGTTACCCCAAACCATGATTTTTCCTTCACCAAACTTGACTGATGTCTGAGAGAGTCTTCGGTTCCAATAGGTCTACTGCAGTATTTGTGATGATTGGGATGCAGCTCAACAGATGATTCATCAGAAAAATCTACCTTCTGCCACTTTCCGAAATGGTCAACTAGAAATCAAGTTATTATTTGTTGGTCTCATAACTGGGATCAATGATAAGACTTTTGCCAGTAGCGTTTGATTACAAGCAAAAGAACCAGTTAACTCAGCAAAAAAGTCTAAAATAGCAATTATTTTGTGTGTATAGTACTTGTATAGTACTTGTGTATAGTATAGTACTGTAAAAGGAACATTCTGTCAAACATCTTATTAAATGCTATCCAATAATATATATATATATATATATATATATATATATATATATATAAAGAGATATAGTGCAGCTAAACAATAAATATTAACTCATTATTTTATTTTTAAAAAATAACAAAAAATGTTGGAAACTGCTAGACGTTGGGATCCATAGTAGGGAAAAACACTGAAATTCAATGACTACTAGATTCAAGTGTTTTTCAAAATTTCTTGTTTTTGTGCATAAGAAAGAAAGAAAGAAAGAAAGAAAGACGGAAAGAAAGAAAGAAAGAAAGAAAGAAAGAAAGAAAGAAAGAAAGAAAGAATATCTGGAAAACAAGCGTATTGCTATTACTATTGCTTATAACTATTGCTTAAAGGATAACGTAATGTAATTTGCTGCATGGCAACACTCATATTGATTTTTTCATGGCTGTCTTAAGACTTTGTGGGGTAGAAGAGCTGACTCTGTCCGATTGTAGAGGCTTGCTTATTGTCCACCTGCTCAGCACCACATGGCTCCTTGTTACATGGTGAGATAACCAGATAATTAGTCAGCACTCAGGAGATCACACTGGATCCGCTTTTGTTCCCTCCCTTATGCTTTGTGCTCTGCTGGAAGAAGCAGCGCTTCCGGTCACCAGCATATGTGTTGTGGACACTGTTGTGTGTGTCTAGCAGGATTCTTGGAGATCTTTATTTGTTAGCAGTATTTTAGCTTGTGGTTGAATTTGCCACCTTAGCTGTCCTGTTCTTTCTGTTAAAAAGAAACTTTAAGTTTAGCTGATCTCCAAGTGACCAGACCTTGTGAAAAAGAAGAACAGTTTAGTTTACTTTTAAAAAGAGAGAAAAGAATATACTTTAAAGGGATACATTCATTCATTCATTCATTCATTTTCCTTTCGGGTTAGTCCTTTTATTAATTTGTGTCTTTATTAATGTCTTTGAACATAGCCGGTGCTCGAACCAGCAACTTTCTTGCTGTGAGGCGATTGTACTACCCACTGCGCCACCGTGCTGCCTACTTTAAAAACATTTCATTTCAAAAAAGCTTCATTGTTAGATTATTGTTAGATTTTTGCATTTGAATACAAAAGAAGCTTTTTTAAAAGTATGGTGAAACCAATAGTACGAAAAATATATAAGTCAGTGGCTACCAAACAGAAACACAAACAAGTTTGGAGAACGTAGAAGGTGAGAAAATGATAACAGAATTTTCACAGTTGTTGCTTAACATCACACTATGAGGAAAGAGTTTACTCACACAAAGTATTGTAGAGGTGCTGGAAGAATTTTCATGTTTCAGTTTGAATATGACTTTGGAAAATGCTTATAGTTTTCTAATATTTCTTAGATATATCTATAGTCGAGGCATCATGGTGGTGCAGTGGGTAGCACAATCGCCTTACAACAAGAAGGTCGCTGGTTTGAGCCTCAGTTGGGTCATTTGGCATTTCTGTGTGGAGTTTGCATGTTCTCCCCGTAGTCATGTGGGTTTCCTCCAGGTGCTCCGGTTTCGCCCACAGTCTAAAGACATGTGGTATAGGTGAATTGGTTAAGCTAAATTGTCTGTAGTGTATGTGTGTGAATGCAAGAGTGTATAGTTGTTTAAGTGAAGGGCATCTGCTGAGTTAAACATATGCTGGATAAGAAATTCTGTCATCTTTTACTCATGCACCTGCTCCAAACTTGTTTGAATTTCTTTCAAACAATTAATAAAAGACATTGGCAACTTTGTTTTTTTTCTGTGTAAATTTGAACAGTTTGATGATATATTCACATTCAACCCACTCTTAAGTGCATTATTCCTTTCATAAAACTTTTCAGAAAAAAACAATTATAGACACATTTTGACTTGAATATTATTTTTATTGAAGGACATCCGAAGTACAGTTTCTGCCATAGCAGAAAGCTGATAATACTAAAAACAAAGAAGCTAACAACACTGAAACTGTAATATGAAACTGGTCAATATTGCAGATTTTTTGTAAAAGAGAGAAAATGTATCCTGTGTATTTCAAAATGACTTTGTTTTGCACATGCCACCATATTAAATACTGATTTACTCCATGTTTGACACATGAAGCAAGAATGCACAAACTCATTCAAATTATAAATATATACATAAACGATTTGAAAAATTGTATATTTTTTAGATCAGCGAATGCTGCCACCTACTGGGGGTTTTAATTTCAATTTCAAAACACACACTAAGCAAAATATATTTGTATATATATATATATATTTTTTTATTTAATTAAATTTTTATTTAGTTTAATTTAATTTAAAGGGCACCTATGATGAAAATCTAATTTTGGAAGCTGTTTGGACAGAAGTGTGTGTAGGTATAGTGTGTCCACTGTCATATTGGAGTGATATAAACACAAGTCTTTTTTGTTTTTATTTACTGACGTTAAAACAGGACCCAAATCCCAGTGATTTTGTGGCCCACCGCAACGTTTATACTGCAAACGGCATTTGTGTGTGACTCGTCATTTCAGAAAGGCTTGAATAACATACCAAACAAGCATACTTGGTATCTTTGACTAATAAGCTGTATTTTAGCTTCATCCGTGTCTGTCTCTATCACTATCACGTAACTGCTGTTTATCTGATATAACTGCATGTCGTAGCAGTGGGCGGGGAGACGCAGCTCATTTTCATTTAAAGCCACTGGCTACAAAGATGGCTACAATGTACTCAGACACCAAAATGGGCAGATTCTGTAAGCTATAATAAATAATGTGATGGGTATTTTGAGCTGAAACTTTACAGACACATTCTGGAGACACAAAAGTCTTATTTTAAATCTTGTAAAAGGGATAAAATAGGTGCCCTTAAATAAATATCACACACCACTGTGCATAATGTTATGAATTACACTGCAGTAAATCATTCATTCCTTCCTGCGGATGTTAGATGCACAGTTTTCCATCCACATACATTGGTTGTATGACTGAACATGTAAGGGTCCTTTGATAGAAAGGCTTCTTTAGCTTTCTGAGCTGAAAAAATTGCGTGTGTGAATCAATGTGTATCAGTGTGTGTGCATGAAGCATAAATAGTATGACTAACAGATGTGGAGGAGGCGTTGTGATGTCATGCTGCTATTTATAGCCTCCCTGACATGGTGAATTTTCTGCATATGTGCGTTTCAGCGGCCAAGCGGGGTATCAAAAGAGAGGATTAGGTTGAAACTAAAATCTCCTCATACACATAAACACGAAAAGCTTTACACATGCTTTTATTTGAATAGTGAAGGCTTGCAGACAATTTTTTTCCCATAAAATTTTTTATCATCATTGAATTGTGAAGTGTGTGTGTATGTGTATGTCTTCATATACGCATGTAAGTAATACAATAGAGCAGGTGTGAAACACTCACATTTACGCTAAATATGGCAACCCAAAATTTTGCTGATTTGACACAATGTGTCTGTATGATTATCTATGGGCTTTTTTTGTGGGCAGTAGGAAAAATAATGAGGTGTCTAAAATCCAGCCACAGCACTTTTTCAAACTAATGGGGCAAAAGTGACATTATCTTGCGGCCATGGTGTGTGTCCACTTTGTTCTTCATTTTAATAAGGAAAAACTTTTTCATAAGCAGTGATAAATGAGCCACAGACTTGTGTGTGTGTGTGTGTGTGTGTGTGTGTGTGTGTGTGTGTGCGTGTGTGTGTGTGTGTGTGTGTGTGTGTGTACACATGTGCAGCATTCTTTATCACCATATACAATTTAATGTTGAGACAGTAGTTTTTTTCAGAGTGCTAAATGCTAGCCTAATTCTAATATAACCTGATACGCACCTGCACGACTCACATTCTGTTTCATACTCTTTATTTTCTTAATTAAAACAAAATAGCAAAGCCTGAAGCATATAGCTTTCAGATTTCAATGGAGAGTCAAAATGTCATTACCCATTTTGCTTCACAAGACCTCCTTGTGTCAAGAGCCGTGGATATCAATTTTATTTTACTTGTATCCAATTTTGTTGAGTCTAAAAGTGCCAGTGACTGATT